TTCATACATGTACTAGGTAATCATATTTTAGATCGTATTGTTAGATTACAAATAATATGACGATAGTTTCTTACAATTTCAGTTACAACTATTTCAAAATTAGGTCAGTAACTAAAGCGTAGACTCAAAAAGAAAAACAAAAGAATCTTCGAAGCTAACGACGAAAGTAATTGAAAAAAAAATGGCGTACATTCGCCATTTGCAATATAATATTGTTCAATAGCTACTCTTGTTGTTTTGTAGTCGTTCTGGTAGCCCGGAGGTAAAGGGGCCTTCTCATGCGGGTTCGAAACTTGGCAAGTATCAATCTGAGATTTTTTTTTAGCAAAAAACTGAGCCGACTCTTGCAAACGAGCGGACAGATTACCTTATGGTAAGCAATCAGCGCCGCCCATGGACACCCGCAACGGAGGAGTTACGAGTGCGTTGCCGACCTTTTAGGGATTAGGGATTTGGAGATTTAGGGATTGGGGAAGGGTCCGGGAGCTTGAGGCTCACTCACACGGCGAAACACAACGCTGTGGTTGTTTCATGCCGGTTTTCTGTGAGGTAGATCTTGTCAATCCAGTAATTAATTATTATACATATTGTCTATTCCATGTCATCGATAATTTATTTATTTATTTATGTTAACACGGATTTGATCCGGTTATATTAACACAGATATATTAAAATAATGAAAGAAAATAAAAAAAACGATACCTACATATGATAAGTTGGAATAGTGGTATATTGACACCCTGTCAACTTTTTTGTTTTGTTTTTTTTTTCCAATAAGGTATTTGATTCGTTCTGGTGGCCCGAATGTTAAGGGGGTCTTCTCATGCGAGTTCTATAGTAAAATCTAGCAAGTACCAATGTGACTTTTTTATGTTACATATAGGTCGGCAAACGAGCAGACAGATTACCTTATGGTAAGCAATCAACGCCGCCCATGGACATGGCAACACCAAAGGAGTTACGAGTGCGTTGCCAGCCGTTTAGGGATAAGAGTTTCAGATATTTAAGGATTGGGAAGGGTCAAGGGAGCCGTAGGGATTGAGCCTGCGGTAACCTCACTCGCAAGGTGAAACACAACGCTGTGGTTGTTTCACGCCTGTTTTCTGTGAGGCCGTGGTATCACTCCGGTTGAGGCACCTATTCGTGCCCAAGCTTGGCTCTCCCACACTTTCTACGAGTTATATGTATTTTCTTCATTTATCTGGACACCACTGACAAACAGTGAAGGAAAACATCGTGAGGAAACTTTGGCTTAGATATAATTTCTAATTGTAAGTATGAAATGTCCAATCCATCTTGAGCAAGCGTGGTGGTTAACGCTCAAACGTTATCCATGTAAGAACAGGGTTTTGCTGGGCTGTGGGCGTTTATAGGGTGATGATGTGACATATGGTAAAGGAAAACTTCGAGAGGAAACCAGGACTTATGATTTCTAAATTTAAATTTGAAGTTCCAATCCGCCTTGAGCAAGCGTGGTGGTCAATGTTCAAACATTCCCAAGTGAAAAGAGGCCTTTGCTCAGCAGTGGGCTCTTTTAAGCTGACGATCTGATAAATGTAGTAGTCTGCGCTTAAAGTTCAAGTAATTAGTTGATTTTATCGTACGAATTACTTTTGATTTAATTCAAAATAAAGACAATAAAATATCTGTAATTACGGTTGTTATAAAGGGGTCTCGGGTTCATTTTGTTTTTAATTAATTCATAATTAGGTTTTAGGTATTTGAATATAAAGCTGTTATTCGGATGCATGTGAAAAAATTATTATTATTATGACATATCAAGATCTCTGAATTGTTTTTTATAATACAAAAATGAATTGCTAAATATGTTATGTTGCTAAGCGCAAATCTCGAGAACAGCTGAACCGATTTAAGTCATTCTTCAGTATTGATTCTATAGTATGAAAGAGGTACGAATGGACTAGCTTGAGCGGACTGATACGTTGTGCTTCGTCGTCTGAGTGAAGTTAAAAGATTAGTTCATTCTCTCCATTTCCCCAATCCCCAATCTTTAAATCTCCAACTACCGCCAAAAGGACAGCAACCACTTATAACTCCTCTGGTTTTGAAGGGTCTAAGAGCGGCGTCGATTGATTGATTCCATCATATTATGATCGATGAGCTTATTTGCTGCTAAAACAATACTGTTTTTGTTGTATATGTTATGATCAGAAGAAAATTTTTGAAAAGCTAACTTGATGATATGCAATAGGTGCCGCCCATGAACACTTGTACCTTATATCAAAGGAGTTATTACAAGCGCGTTGCCGGTTTCTTGTTGGTTAGTAGGAAGTTAAGGACACATAAGGATTTGAGGATTGAGTATAGGGAGGTGGAGGAGGATGAGGCCTCCGGTAACCTCCCTCATATTGCGAAAAACAACGTAAATGTGGCTTCCCGCTGGTTTTCTGTGAGACCGTAGTATCACTCTGGTGGAGCCTTCCCATTCGTGCCGAAGCATGGCTCTCCAACAGTCCGGGAAATATAACATTTTTAATGTCTTGTAGCTCGCTAAAAAACCAATGACAGACTCCAAGGTTAATTCACACCCACATCATCACTATACATATATGTCTATGTATAAAAAAGTTTTTCCTAGTAAAAAAATATTTAGCACTAGCGACCCGCCCCGGCTTCGTACGAGTGAAAAGCTGATATTATTTTATGGATGTTATTATACTTTTGTGTACGTTTATGCATGTATTGTACACTACATGTAAAAGGAGATAGTAAAATAACTAAATGGCCTTTTTGGCATCGGTATCGATCACTAATGATTTTGAAAATATATTTCGTGTACAGAATTGACATCTCTACGGATTTGTTATAAGTGTAAGTAAGTATATGGAAGATAATTGTGCTAATTCGCAAAATTAAGCTATAATTGTCAAAATATGCAGACGCATATAAATGTTACCTTTAGTATAAAAAATGTTTTACCTTTAGTAAGTACCTACTTATCACATTTTATTGCTTAACCGTTTTTAACACGCCTTTTTTTAAATCAAACTATGACAAACTAAATTTAAAGCTACTAAATAAAAACATAAAAAAGTATGTATAAAATTAAAAAAAACTGAATTACACGCGGTTCTAATTGTCACTAATTACTATCATGGAAATTCCTAATGTTACAGAATTTTTTTGTGATGGAAGTATCGTCAAATGACTTCTCCCGCCCAGAGTCGGGTGGAAGAAAGTGTCAGACTGTTACTGACTAAAAACCCCCCTGTTTGTTCTCCTGCTCTGGGCCAAGGCCGCGGTGCCTCATTGCGCTTACCCCGCAACCCCGGCTGAACATTAGTCCTATAGGGCCCCGTCTGTGGTGGTCTATTGGCTCTTAGACGCGCGCGGAACGCTATGCACCGTACACAATTATAACTTTATGTGTAGTAAGTAGTCTTAGAAGAACGCGTGAGGGAGCTATCTACGCCCCGGTCGTCGCAGTAGACGATAGAGCAGAACCAGATCCGTGGGGTTGGTTCGGGTCGGGGTTGCGAGTCAAGCGACATATGGTGCTACGGGCTCGACGTGGAGCAGATGAAGGAACGGGGTTTTTTTAGTCACTAAGTGTCTTACACGCCCTTTCGCCTCACCCTAGCCGAGAGAAGAAATGTAATGACTGCCCTTTTTCAAAACATAAAAACACTTTAGGGATAAGTGACAGGTATTGTTAAAGATAAAGATAGTTTATTTGCAATATAAATTGTGTAATAAATAAAACGTTATGTAACATAACACACAACACAAGATAATTATGTTATATAACATAAAAGAAATATTATTTCATTAGACCAACGGTTCCCAGAGAAAAACAATAAAAGAAAATAGAAATGCACGATGTATATGACTGTACGTTTGAAGCGGTGGCTAGGTTACCGACTGCCTTGTAATGTATCACGGATTCATTTCCAGCACGGATGAACTACTTATGTGATCCACAACTTGTTGTTCCGGGTCTGAAAGTGATGTGTATGTGAAATTATATGTTTGTAAACGCACCCACGACACAGGATAAAGTCCTACTTTGAGGTAACGTTACAAAAATGTTAATAGAATATACCAACATACCTATATCTAAACATCTAATCATCAACAAATACTTATGTGATCTACAACTTGTTGTTCCGGGTCTGAAAGTGATGTGTATGTGAAATTGTATATTTATAAACTCACCCATGCCTCAGGATAAAGTCTTACTTTGAGATAACGTTACAAAAATGTTAATAGAATATACCTACATACCTATATCTAAACATCTAATCATCATAAAGTCAATAAAATTATCAGGTGAGGAACGATGTTGTTTTTAGTCAGTAAGAGTCTGGCTCTTCTTATCATCTTCTTATCATCCTAGGCGAAAATAAATATTTGACGATTTTCTCCCACTGAAAAAAATTGTGTTAGATGATACAATGCTTATCCTCTAATTGTGATATGAATCAAAGCATTATATTAAAAAAAAGAACAAATGAATACCCCTTTATTTCTATGTTCTTAAGGTAGATTTAATGGTGACCTACTTGTCACCAAAATAGTTTCTTAAATGTCTTAATAACAGTCCTAAAAGTAGACATCAATTCGTAAATAAAAACACGTTAATAATATGTGTAATTTTAATACATAGGAATGTTGATACGTAACGTAAAGATAATCCACTTTTAACAACCCTAAAAATATCTATATTACCATACCATTCAATAATTTTCATACAGCAAAATAATTTTCTTAATAAATAAAAAACGCAAATTTAAATATCAATTAACAAAATATTAATAAATTCCACCTTCAATTACCAGATATGACTTTTATTAATATCGTCGGAGATGAATTAATTTACAATACATATTTTCAAATTTGGAATAAACTCGATCGAATCTTGAATAAAGAACCGATAATACGCGACTTTCTTCATCTATTACATAGATTCTGCGCAAGCGCCTACGAAATACAAAGAAAAACAAGTTAGTACTAAAAGCGTCACGAAACCCAAAACTCACCTTTCTCGGTGATATTTTGTCCCAAAACACTGACAACACAGAGCACAATGAACCACCTCATCGTTCCTTAGCACTTGCACCAACTGTCGCGAGTCGTGCGCCTGCGCACCGCTCCTAATATTTTGCAATTACTCCGTAGGAAGGGATTTATCGTGTAAAGTCTAGTTATTTAGGCAAAGATTATTATTATTCTTGTTTGCTTGTGATGTCGTAAATTTTATGAGTTAAAGTTTTTGTTTATTAAGTCAAAGTTTTATGATGGGAAATTGAAATTTTAAAACTCATTATGATATGTTTTTTCATGTATTAGGGCTGATTTTTCAATAGTCAGCATCATAATTTTAGTATTTTATTATATAAGTAGTTACTACATATATAATAAAATAATTGAAATTTCATCTCTTAGATATCAAACTTAATCATCGAATCTAAAAGTCATCGATGGACAAATAAAAAATCAACGTAAATATATGTATATATTTCTTAATTCATCAAACTCCAAGCGAACGCCGGCAAACCCATTGTTTTTCTTTTGTGTCTCGAATTACGACGATTCTATGGTTAAATAATTAAACTCTTTTAATCACTTGCCAGGGTTGCGATTGCAAGAGCAGTATATACCACGTACCTGGCTCGGAGAAGGTACATACGAGCTGGTTTTTAGTCTTTAAGAAATTTCTATAATCTTATCCCTAATAACCTACAAATGGTCGACAACGCACTTGATGTAACTCTTTTGGTATTACGACTGTCCATGAGCCGCACAGATTGCATGGCATCAGGTAATACACACTGTATGAGTACCTATACCTATAGTACCATACCTTGACGTTTGTCAACAACAATGTCTCTCTCTCCCTCTCTTTCTCTCTCTCTCTCTCTCTCCGCCCCATCCAATGCGAGTCTTCCGGCCGGACCGGAGTGATACTACGGCCTCACAGAAAACTGACGTGAAGCAACACGTTGTATCCCGCCGTGTGACTCTGGTTACCGGAGGCCCAATCCTACCCCTATCCTCAATTCTCAAAACACCTATCCCTAAATCCCTAATTACAAGAAGCAGGCAACGCACTTGTAGTAACTCCTTTTGGTATTACGACTATCCATGGGCGGCGCTGATTGCTTTTCACCAGGTAATCCGTCTGCTCGTTCTTACATTTACATTTTACATTTAAATCCAAAAAAGAGTGTTGTTAATACATTTATCATTTTACATCACATTGCCACATAGCATTAGTTATAATTATAACATCCTTCCTGGCAATGCTTGGTCATGCAGAGATCCTGTGTGCCAATGGTTTTAGTCAGTAACAATATTCACAATGATTTTCGTATCCAAAAAGGCTTCAGCTGTTTCTGAGAAATTTTAAATTTGACTGCACGGTTGGCACGGTGGCCTGGCTAGTGGATGCCGAGCAACTTTTCGTGGATTTATTTCCTGCCTGGAATAAGTGTTTGTGAGATCCATATATTATTGTTCCAAGGATGCGTATGTTAAATTGTATGTCCGCAAACCCACCTACGACACTTAAATAAAAACTAAAGTAAGTACGTTAAAATGGGAGCACTAATTCTATCACGAACTTGCACACATTGTAATTTTCAAATAAGAAAAATATAGTTAACAATTATTAATAACTTAAGTGTGGGCCCTGGGTGGTGAATGGGTCGGCTCGACTGGAGCCAATGGCCCCACGGTGAACAGGCGTGAACCAACCATACCGTGTGAATGAGTTTACTGGAAGCTTGATCCTTCCCCACCCCCATCCCTCCCGAATCCCTAAATCTCCGAAACCTTAATACCCAAAACGTTGGCAACTCGCTCGTTACTCGTCAGGTGTGCGGTTGTCCATTAGAAGCGCGAATTGCTTACCATCAGGTAATACGTCCACCAGTTCATGCAGACCTATTTCATACAAAAACGTCATCATCTCTCTACTACGTCTACTACGTATCAAAGGTCTCCCTTATATCCCTTTCAACTCCAGCTCGCTATGTCAAGACCGTGGTCAAGACATACTGAACGTAAATAAGCCTTTAAATTCAAATTTGGAACCAATTCCATACCAGTAAGTAAAAAGAAAATATTTAAATGATTCTATTAGGTATTTCAATTATTGATAACAAAAAAAAATACTATTCCAGCTAAATGGCAAGGGAATAGCTCAAAACTACTGTGAGCTACTATTATTATTCACATATTTATTTAAGTTGCTATAAAAATTACATTTTAAAATAATACTATAAAAATATACAATAAAAAATATTCATTTAAAATATTTACTACATTATAAGTGTTGTTAAGATGGCTGTATTTAATATATCTGCATATAATATTAGTTTCTCTATTTAGAACTATGTCAATTTTACACATTTTTTCGTTTTCATTTTGGTATAATAATAAATTTGGAGGAGGCCTGCAGAGGGGGTTCTTGCAAACTAAACTAACTTTTACTTAATTAAAAGTAATAATAAGCTATATTATTATACATATATATGAAAATAACAATGTCTAGATTTAAGAATTACATAAAAAATAAGTACTAACTGCAAAAAATATAATACAATCTAAAGAATCTAAGTTTCTCATTGTTGTAAACTGTAAGAAATAATGGGTTTTATTTTTAATTAATATTTTATAATATTAAATTATGGCTTAAAACCAGTATTTAAAAACTATTTTAATTTTATAAAATTAAAACATTAAATTGTGAGACAAAAAGTCTCTTTAGTTTTAACGATTCAAGAATACAGGGACAGAAAAACCGACAGCAGATATGTCTTATACCTACTAGGTATGTAGTGATGTTTAGTACCTTATTCAACGAACCATTTCAAAATTATCTTATACAAGTAAATAATTTATAATTAAAAATTATATTAGTTTTCCGCCCGCGGCTTCGCCCTCATGGAATTCGGTTGTAGACTTCACGGTTGGTGCGGTGGCTGGGCAACTTTGTGTGATCCACAAATTGTTGTTTCAGGTCTGGATGTCATGTGTATGTGATTAAACAACACACCCACAACACAGTAGAAAATCCTAAAGTGGGGCAACGTTTCATAAATAAATATATAAATATGTATAAATATATCAATATTATCAATTATAATAACATAACATAAGTCAGGATTTAACTTCTAAGTTTACATGTGCGTATTCGTTTGCAACATGTCACCTTCTTTTAAACGACACAGCGCCATCTATCCGAACTGGTATGAAGCTAACAATATTTTCGTTTTCCCTCAGAAATATCAAATTTTACCGGGATAAAAAGTACTTACCCTATTCAAGTCCGACTTCTAACTTTACGTTTGCAAAATTTCAAAGCAATGGGTTCAGTAGTTACGGCGTAAAAGCGGAACAAACAAACAAACAAACTTAATTTCCCATTTATAATATCAGCAAGGATTTATTTAGCTAATCCACATGAGGATGAAAATAGTATTATAAACAAAAACTAGGCATTGTCTTACACTCGACCTTTAGAAGATGTACCTATTTATGAGAGAGTCAGATTTAATAATAAAACTAACACCCGGTTTCCGAAAGCCCGATCAATGTTAAAATCAATTTAACGTCATCTGATTGGTTGACTGAATTATCAACAACCAATCAGATGACTTGACAAGAGATTTGACACCTAGTTAGTTGATTTCAACATTGATCGGGCATTCGGAAACCGGGTGTTAGTGTCGTATTTAAAAAAAAAATACTCCTTTGTAGACATCATCACTTACCACCAAGCGTGATAGCGACCAAACGCCAGCCGCCCATTAACAAAAAAAAAAAAAATCCAAAATTTTCACAGAAGTCTTTGCAACTATAACCCATAAATCATAATCAATAAAATATCGACGGCGTGAATTGTATAAATATTTTGTAGGTGAGCCATGCTTCGACACGAATAGGTCAGTTTAAGCGGAGTAATACTACGACCTTACAGAAAACCGACATGAAACAACCACAGCATTGTATTTCGCTGGCGCTTTCATTATCCCCTTATCCCCAACCGCGAAATCCCCAATCTTCAATATCGTAAAATTCCCCAGAAGGTCAGCAACGTTTTTGTAAACCCTCCCCCACTTCCCTTTTTACTCCCCAAATCTTCAAACCTCAAATTTTCATATTCCTATCAATAGGCTAAAAACCGTACCATCCGTCTGTTCGTTGGAATTTTTGTTCATTATCCAATAAATTAAGAACTGACTAGGTATTTGAATCCTAAAACCCGTACGCACCTTTTTTAACGAGAGCGTGTATTAGACTCTAATTGACTAATATCCAACCCGTTCCTTTTACTTCTCTGAACCGGTGACGTGGTAAAAAAAAAGTCAAAAATCATTTATTTCAATTAGACCACAGAAGGCACTTTTGAACGTCAAGCAAGCAAAAAAGGAAAAAAGTATATATAACAAGAGCTTTAAAATTAAGCGTGTCAGTCTGTCCGTCTGTCCTCTAGTGAAGCTATTTGCTCGTTCCAAAGTGTAGATTCCTATGGAGAAGAACGAGCAAGAAACTTCATGATTACTCTTTTTCAATCAGTTTTACAATACATTTCTTTGTTACATCATTTAGTCGGTTCTGATATGTGAGAACAATGTAACACTAATGTTCAGGCAAAAAGTACGAAAAAGAAGTGAACCTCAAGGACAACATATTTAGACAGCCTGGAGATGACCAGTCCCAATAGGCGGCGCCCGTTCACGAACATGACACGTACACCAGCACCGCCCAACTCAACCATATTATAGGGAATTGGACGATCCAGTGCCCGTGCCACCGCCAATGAGACCTCTGAGTGAGCATGACAGCTCCCAGCCGACACAAGTACCTATATTCTACAAGTCTTACTTAATTATAATAGGTTACAGGGCACTCACATTTACAAAATCTTAGAAGTTCATCAACAATTAACAACATAGTGTACAATTTAATAATTAAAATAAAAAAAAATATACTCTAAACATCCTGTGGAGTAGGACCAGCTAGCCTCCAAGCATTTTTATCTTGTATATAACCCATATAATGTACATTAAACCTACCATAAAAAACAGAATATTTATCGTAAATCTAATTA